TATCTGTAAACACCTATGTTTCACAATAAATAAATTTGAATTTGAATTTACAACACATACATACATAATATGTATACTGTTTTCACAATGTCGATTATACAAAATCGGCTATCCCAGCCGCTACTATTAGATTGAATGACTCTACATTACTACAATAAGTTCTGATATTAAAATATGTATATGGAGCATTGTTTGTTTTGATCGATATAATTCAAATCTTATAAAGATGGGTATATTATATTATTTTATCTACTTGGTTTTTGAAGTATAATCATTATAAAAATTAAAGAATAGGTATTAGTTACTCAAAAAACATATTTTAATTATAATTTGTAAACTGTACCAATAAATTAACTGATAAATTTTTAATTGTCTGAATTATAATAATTTTGATAAGGTTTTTAGATAACAAGATCTAGAAAGCGATATATGTACGAGTAGGTATTTAATAAAATAGTAGCTGAGATCCAAATGGATCTTTATGACCGAACAGAAGCGACGACAAAGTTACTTGCTTGTTATGAAACTTAATTTTTACATACCTATTATTTTGATATTACCATCACAAAAGCTTTTTACACTGAATTTATGTTAGGTATTATTTTCCGTTTCCTTTGTGTAAACTCTACCATAAAGCGCGTATACTCAAAGAAAATAATGTTGTCGATAAAAAATAATATGTGATTAGGTAGTTTAGAATTACTTACCTATTTCATAACCCATAAAATCACTGCAAGCGGCTAGGCGTAACTAATTACGGCATTTTCAGGATAATAAATTCGTAGTTATTGTTTTTAATCTACGGAATTATATATTTTGGTGACAATTCATTACGGCTCTACAATATCGGCATTTGATTTCGTAAAAATCTTTGGTTATATTATTATTTTTAGCAGTATTCAAGACTCTACCGTAATTTTTTTAGCGATAAATAAAGAATTTGCTTAAAAACATAGAATAATTCCATTTTATGTTTATCTGCTAACTCTTTTGTAACTTTTTGTATAAAAAAAGTAAGCGGTCTTCAGCATTTACTTATTAAAAACAATTTATGATCAATGTAGAGACTTTTAAAGCGTTTTCAATTAAACAATACCCAATTGATTGCAAAAATACTTGATTGTTCATACAAACGGAACGGAAACTCATATTTCTTTAATTTTTACGTGTGTTTTGAAGCGTTTTTGATTAATAAGTTAGGCCTAAAGTTACCGGTGTGCGGCGGCGAGCGCGCGAGCGGGCTGCGCGGCTCCGCGGCGCGGGCCATGATGGCCGCGATGGAGAAGTCCGTCGCCCTGGTCTTGCCCTCCTCCGCCACCATCCTGCCGCCTCCCGACCTCCAGCACTCCGCACCTTCCACATCCATCAAACAACTGTGGCAAGTCCGATCTCTCTCAGCTTTCCCATTTCACCGGCAGCGTCCGAAACATCGTTCCCTTTTCATCATCAAAAATTTTATCACCGAAAACAAATTTCAAAAACTCATCTATTACTAGAAGCTCAAAGTTTGATACATAACTCGATTAAAAAAAATGCACTTGATAAACACAATTTGTAAGGGTATGCGTTTCGAATCGGTTTATCGTTGAACTCGTATCGGTATTGACGGTGCACTTATGCACACAAGCGAAAGCGGTACGGCCGAACGCGGACTGAGCGCGCGGGAGCGGGCGCGCGCGGGGCGGGGCGGGCAGGGCGCCGCCCCCGGCCCCGGCGCAACCACTGGCCGCGCTACCCGCTGTCGCCTGCTCCCCCTCTACCTCCCCTACGTACCGAGCTTTTCATAACAATAAAAATAATATCATTCCAAACCTATTATTTAATTCGTATTCAACGCCGGATAATCGCGATTGCAATTATTTCTTTGCATTCCGATGCAAAAAAACTTTTTATTCTTTGTGTGGAAATCGATGCGAAAATTAACACAAGAGAACGATNCCCGATTGCAATTATTTCTTTGCATTTCGATGCAAAAAAGCTTTTTATTCTTTGTGTGGAAATCGATGCGAAAATTCACACAAGAGAACGATGGATGAAAAATTAAAAAAAAAATAATTAAATGAAAAATGAGCTCCAAATTATTCTTAAAAACAAATATAGAGTCATATCAAAATGGTGTCTAATGAGAACGCGCGCGCAGTGACAGAGTAAATGCGCCGCCCATAAAAAGTGATCAGTGGTTTAGAGCGGGAGAGAGCGCGTCTTGAAGTAACCGCAGCCGCGCGCCAGAGCGGGACGAAGAGATGATAGAGACTATTGCATGCGCAAAGAACGTTTAGCATTGCATTGCAGAAATATATTGCAATAAATGTATATTTTATACATAAACGATAACTATCGCTTTAATATAAAAATGCCATTATGTTTACTATAGGTCTAGGTTATAATTTATAATCCTATTAGTATATTTAATTTTATTTAGTGTCATTTTTAAAGAACATACTTATTTATGTATATTTTTAATAACATCGTCCCCAAAAAATATCATTTAAATGAGTTAGGTAATCTTTCCATGATAACGACTATAAAACCACCAATACTTTAATTATATTTTATTTGAATAAGTTTGTAGCATTTTACTTTTTTATAAAAAAACTCACAAAAATACTCTGAAAAATAGTGTAATGTTATTATTTTTTCAGGAATAGGCGCATTAAAATTAGTTGTAAATAAAAAAAAAATATTTCGACGATATTGTCATTTTTTTTATTATCCTAGGCATCTTAAGCTTGAATTCATTAAAATATTTTTTTTATCAAGAGGATTTTATTTATAACAGTCAGACCTGTAGAATTAGAATATCTTCAATAATTAGAAAGGAGTCAAACTGCAAATGGCTGGCGAACACATTTTGATAAATTCCAATGGAACACTAAAATGTAGAGTCTACATGAAGTAATCTTTCGAAAACAAAAACGGAATCAACATCAATCCATCTATTTAAGAGATAAGATTCCACAGACAGACACGAACACACGTCAAACCTATAGGTAACACCCCTCTGTTTGTGTCGGGGGATAAAAAAATAGAGTAAGGGCGGAGAGTCTCGTTCACTTTTCTAAAGATACCTACTATTTTTCTCTACAATGTAGAATTATATGGAAGATAAAACTGTTTGAACAGGGCTCTAGGTAATATAAATGTGCCTGAGTCAATCGAGTTAAATATGACAATCAAGTAATCATATTATCATAAATAGAGAAACAGAACAATCGTATTCTCATTAATTTATTATAAACACTTGATTTCTTTTCAGGCGACTACTGTATACTCATATTGGAAACTCATATTTCTTTTCAGAGAATAACTATTGTAAATATTTTTATCTTTTTCTAGGCAATTTTTAATTTGTCTGACAACATTCGGAAATCGAATAACAACGATGTTAACAATGGATAAGTACTTAAGTACTACTTGCTCTACCAAGAAATGATCATTTTCTTTGTTTGATGACGATTAAACGAAGTAGAAATCCGTTTGATAATTTGGGAATAAAGATTTCTGAAGAAAATAGTAAAAAAATACTGTAAATATGGTACAACTCAACAGACCAACGTTTTTGACTACTAAATAAATAACATTTTAATTACTTACCTATCTTATTTATATTTTTCTGATATCTTATTTATATGCGATTCTGTGTATTGCGTGTGTCCAGTAACGTATTGTGTTAAAATCACTTGTTGTTACCTGTACGAATATGTAATATTCCTTTTATAGTATGTAGGATACCAAAATTGCCGGATGTTTTATGAAACAAACCAGCTTCAATGTAGAAGACTGCATGGTGGCCCTAAACTCTATATTTTTACGCCATTATCTCAATTACGCCAAAATTCATTAAAATAAAACTGTGACGAAATTCATGAAATCTCATTATATCTCATTATAGTTAAGTAGAACTAGTGGGAACCCGCGACTTCGTACGTGTGGACGCCGTTTTACCCCCTTAGAGGTTGAATTTTGCGAAGTCCTATATGAGTGACCTTCGTTCGAAAAGGAAACCCCATGCAAAATTTGAGACTCCTAGCACTTGTTGTTTTTGATATTTCGTGCTGAGTGAGTGAGTCAGTCAGTCAATCAGTTACCTTTCGCTTTTATAAATATATAGAAATATAATATTCAGAGATAAAGTATCAATCATAGCAATCGAGAGATACAATAGTTCATTTTTAGTGGCGAGTGGGTGTAAAAGGACCACCAAACCTCCTCATAAAGCATACACATTCGCTCTTCTTTACCCAACTCTGGTGTCGGGCTTTACGACCGTCAGTAGGCGTCTACATGACTCAATCCACAGCTTAAAGTTCCATCCAAATAATAGAATCACATCTTTTCAGAACAGCAGTTGATTCCAACTTATAATGTCCCAAACATATTAAAAAGACTGTGCCTCTACCATGAGTTTACCTACCGAGCATCTCGCTATCGAGGGCGTAAAAAAATGTATGGCAAATTGTACAGCGCCTCTAGCGGTTAGTAGCTGAACCACAGCAAAACTAAAAACACTACCATGAGTTCATCTCAAATCGTTAGGTAAAAAACCTATCTAATTGAATACGATAGCGACTAAAGTTTTTATTAAGTTTCATACAAATAACTTACCATGAGTTGCAATTTTCAAAGATGTCATCGAAAAATACCTTAGCTGTCACAGTAACGTAACTCACTGGCTTATTGACATGTGAAAAGCAAAATAAAATTGTGGTTTTAGGTCATTTTAGGTGTTTTCTTTATTAAATTATGTCGGAAAGAAGTTTATTACGATGGAACATGTTATCAGCATGTGGGCAGACCTCCCACTAGGTGGACCGACGATCTGGTGAAGGTCGCGGGAAGAACCTGGATGCGGGCACATTGTGGAGATCCTTGGGGGAGGGAGAGGATGCTGCGTTTCCCAGAGATATGCGAGGGAATTGTGTCGTGCGAAGATGTCTAGCTGTGCTGTGAAAATGTGTGTTTTGAAGCGTTTTTGATTAATAAGTTAGGCCTAAAGTTACCGGTGTGCGGCGGCGAGCGCGCGAGCGGGCTGCGCGGCTCCGCGGCGCGGGCCATGATGGCCGCGATGGAGAAGTCCGTCGCCCTGGTCTTGCCCTCCTCCGCCACCATCCTGCCGCCTCCCGACCTCCAGCACTCCGCACCTTCCACATCCATCAAACAACTGTGGCAAGTCCGATCTCTCTCAGCTTTCCCATTTCACCGGCAGCGTCCGAAACATCGTTCCCTTTTCATCATCAAAAAATTTTATCACCGAAAACAAATTTCAAAAACTCATCTATTACTAGAAGCTCAAAGTTTGATACATAACTCGATTAAAAAAAATGCACTTGATAAACACAATTTGTAAGGGTATGCGTTTCGAATCGGTTTATCGTTGAACTCGTATCGGTATTGACGGTGCACTTATGCACACAAGCGAAAGCGGTACGGCCGAACGCGGACTGAGCGCGCGGGAGCGGGCGCGCGCGGGGCGGGGCGGGCAGGGCGCCGCCCCCGGCCCCGGCGCAACCACTGGCCGCGCTACCCGCTGTCGCCTGCTCCCCCTCTACCTCCCCTACGTACCGAGCTTTTCATAACAATAAAAATAATATCATTCCAAACCTATTATTTAATTCGTATTCAACGCCGGATAATCGCGATTGCAATTATTTCTTTGCATTCCGATGCAAAAAAACTTTTTATTCTTTGTGTGGAAATCGATGCGAAAATTAACACAAGAGAACGATAGATGAAAAATTAAAAAAATATTAAATTCAATGAAAAATGAGCTCCAAATTATTCTTAAAAACAAATATAGAGTGATATCAAAATGGTGTCTAATGAGAACGCGCGCGCAGTGACAGTAAATGCGCCGCCCATAAAAAGTGATCAGTGGTTTAGAGCGGGAGAGAGCGCGTCTTGAAGTAACCGCAGCCGCGCGCCAGAGCGGGACGAAGAGATGATAGAGACTATTGCATGCGCAAAGAACGTTTAGCATTGCATTGCAGAAATATATTGCAATAAATGTATATTTTATACATATAACAAACGATAACTATCGCTTTAATATAAAAATGCCATTATGTTTACTATAGGTCCAGGTTATAATTTATAATCCTATTAGTATATTTATTTAGTGTCATTTTTAAAGAACATACTTATTTATGTATATTTTTAATAACATCGTCCCCAAAAAATATCATTTGAATGATTTAGGTACTCTTTCCATGATAACGACTATAAAACCACCAATGTTTTAATTATGTTTTATTTTAATAGGTTTGTAGCATTTTACATTTTTATAGAAAACTCCCTAAAATACTAAAATAGTGTAATGTTATAATTTTTTTCAGGAGTAGGCGCATTAAAATAAAAAAAAATCTTTCAACGATACTCTCACATTTTTTTAAATTACCCTGCATCTTAAACTTTAATTCATTTTTTTTAATCGAGAGGATTTTATTTATAACAGTCAGACCTGTGGAGTTAGAACACCTTCAATACTAGAAAGGAGTCAAACTTCAGATGTCTGGCGAACAGATTTTGATAAATTCCAATGGAACACTAAAATGTAGAGTCTATATGAAGTAATCTTTCGAACACAAAAACGGAATCAACATCACTCCATCTATTTAAGAAATAAGATTCCATAGACAGACATGAATACACGTCAAACCTATAGGTAACACCCCTCTGTTTGCGTCGGGGGATAAAAAATATAGTAAGGGCGGAGAGTCTCGTTCACTTTCCTAAAGATAAGATAGAATAAATAACATTTTAATTACTTACCTATCTTATTTATTCTGATACTGCGATTCTGTGTATTGCTTGTGTCCAGTAACGTATTGTGTTAAAATCACTTGTTGTTACCTGTACGAATATGTAATATAACTTTTATAGTATGTATAGGGTACCAAAATTGCCGGATGTTTTATGAAACAAACCAGCTTCAATGTAGAAGACTGCATGGTGGCCCTAAACTCTATATTTTTAACGCCATTATCTTTAAATTTACCTACGCTATTGCATAAAGTCATTAAAACAAAACTGCGACAAAATTCATGAAATCCCGTTAAACTTAATTCAGAGATATCGTATCAATCATAGCAATCGAGAGATACAATAGTTCATTTTTAGTGGCGAGTGGGTGTAAAAGGACCACCAAACCTTCTCATAAAGCATACACATTCGCTCTTCTTTAGTCCCAACTCTGGTGTCGGGCTTTACGACCGTCAGTAGGCGTCTACATGACTCAATCCACAGTTTAAAGTTCCATCCAAATAATAGAATGACATCTTTTCAGAACAGCAGTTTGATTCCAACTTATAATGTCCCAAACATATTAAAAAGACTGATGTCAATCCAAAGTTGTGTTAACACTTTTACTCAGGACTTCTGGCATTCGGGACTCTTTAATGACTGGGATTCGAGTACGAGACGTAACAGGTACGTTTCGTATGTTACAAAATTTTATTTTTGGAGCAGGATAAAAGTTTACATTTTAGACACCTACAAATGGGATCTACATTCATAAGGACTCGAAAATGGTATTTTTATCTCTACATTATTTTAAAACATTTTTACGCTTAAGTGGACGCACATAAAAGAATTAGGCTGGGTTGCACCATCTTACTTTAACTTTGACAAACGTCAAAAATCTGTCAAACTCCATACAATAAACGCCGATTATCATTTTAGTTACGGTCAAAGTTAAAAGTGGTGCAACTCAGCCTTACGCCCGTATTCACAAACGATGCTTGCTTAAGTGAAGCAGTTTTCTGCTTCGAACGCACAGCGTTGAATAGAACTCTGTGATTGGTTCATGTGTCACCCTGTACGTCCACGCGCACTGTGAGACCTCATAGTAATGTTTGTGAATACGGGCGTTAGTGTTTTAATTAAGTCTTGTTAAAAATAAAATCCATGAAAATAAGATGGGGTAAAATATTTTCCTAAGCATGTCTAAATTGTCGAAGTACCTACCGCTCTAGTATTAATTACACTTTATGCAAATCTTGCAAATTGTGGGAAATTTTATCTTAATTAATTCTGGCATGAAAACTTAAGATTTGTAATACCTTTTTCATTCTCTTAACTAGTGCTACACAGTCTCATCGTCATTACCTATGCCTATGTAATAAATGAGTACCTACATTAAAGACAGGTCAAAAGGTAATTATCAAGCCGCAATAAAATCAAATCATCAGATTTCAAGAGCATATTGTGAACGGGCTCTACAATTTAAACGACGCATTGAAAAGGAAGCTTGTGCGAACGATTTCCAAATATTTTGGCCTAAAAGCATCAAACACAAATTGTAATCATTTTAGCTAAGTGGTATAGAAGTAGAATCATTAATAAATTAAATTAATTCAAAATCCAAAATAACACTTTAATACGAGTAGTGTCTTGTAATAATTCTCTCATATTAGTCCAGTCATTTAAGCTTAAATTAGGTAAGAATCTCGGAATTAGAGATACCCAGCTGTAATTCTGTAAATACTTGTATATTGACACCCTAAAAGTTGTCTCAAAACCTACATATGGTAGAGTGTAAGCAACTATTAAATTTTAAGGTCAAAGGTCACAAAAATCGTTTTTTTGCGCTTTTTTTGGAAATATCTCATTTCCTATGGGTTTTTTGCTATTTGTNATGTCAATCCAAAGTTGTGTTAACACTTTTACTCAGGACTTCTGGCATTCGGGACTCTTTAATGACTGGGATTCGAGTACGAGACGTAACAGGTACGTTTCGTATGTTACAAAATTATATTTTTGGAGCAGGATAAAAGTTTACATTTTAGATACCTACAAATGGGATCTACATTCATAAGGACTCGTAAATGGTATTTTTATCTCTACATTATTTTAAAACATTTTTACGCTTAAGTGGACGCACATAAAAGAATTAGGCTGGGTTGCACCATCTTACTTTAACTTTGACAAACGTCAAAATCTGTCAAACTCCATACAATAAACGCCGATTATCATTTTAGTTACGGTCAAAGTTAAAAGTGGTACAACTCAGCCTTACGCCCGTATTCACAAACGATGCTTGCTTAAGTGAAGCAGTTTTCTGCTTTGAACGCACAGCGTTGAATAGAACTCTGTGATTGGTTCATGTGTCACCCTGTACGTCCACGCGCACTGTGAGACCTCATAGTAATGTTTGTGAATACGGGCGTTAATGTAATTAAATTAAGTCTTGTTAAAAATAAAATCCATGAAAATAAGATGGGGTAAAATATTTTCCTAAGCATGTCTAGATTGTCGAAGTACCTACCGCTCTAGTATTAATTACACTTTATGCAAATCTTGCAAATTGTGGGAAATTTTATCTTAATTAATTCTGGCATGAAAACTTAAGATTTGTAATACCTTTTTCATTCTCTTAACTAGTGCTACACAGTCTCATCATCATTACCTATGCCTATGTAATAAATGAGTAATAAATTAATACCTACCTACAGTAAAGACATGTCAAAAGGTAATTATCAAGCTGCAATAATCAAATCATCAGATTTCAAGAGCATAATAGTAAACGGGCTCTACAATTTAAACGACGCATTGAAAAGCAAGCTTGTGCGAACGATTTCCAAATATTTTGGCCTGAAAGCATCAAACACAAATTGTAATAATCTTAGCTAAGTGGCACAGAAGTAAAATAATTATTAAATTAAATTAATTCAAAATCCAAAATAACACTTTTAATACGAGTAGTGTGTTGTAATAATTCTCTCTTAGACCCCATGAATTTAGTTATCCCTTTACTAATTTCAACTCATTATAACCATCATAGAGATAGGTACAGGTATGATACTGGACAAATGGTGTAATCTACAATTTTTGGGCATTTCTTTCTAACTAAAGGTAGTTACTTACTCACATAAAATATTAAGAATCCATCTCGTTCGCTCTGACTCAATTCGGTTGCCGAAACTACAGCTAATTTTATCCCAGAAATTCATAAATCCCCAGGAATGCAGTGCGAGCCACTGGCAGGCACTTTTTATGTATAATGGCAGTAGGAATTTTAAAAATAATTCGAAATTAAGGAGGTAATGGCGTAAGATCACTTACCAACTGTATAAATATTCACGTGGAAGATAGGAGGAGGGATTTTAAATGTCATAAGTACCTACCTGTATAAAAAAACTGACAGCGCACATACAGGCGGGTATATACCAACGCATCTTTTGATGCCTTATCTTTCAATCTTAAGTACATGGTTTCAAAACGAGTGATCTTTATCACTCCAATTGAAATTCTACCGCTGAAATGAAGTATTTCTTGCTAACATGTAAAGCTTCAACTGTTGAAAAATTCCAAACAATATTAAAATTTTCAAACTTATACAATAGAACCAGTAAGTCGACTAAAATTTGCTCTTTAGAGAATTAGAACTTAGTTGTTAGGTTTATGTTCAAGAATGGACACACACTAACGTT